AGATTAGGAGAAACCAAACTTAATAGTAGTAACTGTGAGACCTTGGAGTCTTAGTGGACAACCAGCTAAATATGAGCCAACTGTGCCAAAAAAGCCAATACATTAATAGAGGGATTCAATCAGGATCACGTGAGATACTAATACCACTCTGTAAAGCCTTAGTAAGACCACACCTAGAATACTGCATCTGGTTTTGATCACCACACTATAAAAAATATGTTAAGACTTTAGAAAAAAGTGCAGAGAAGAGCAACAAGATGATTAGGGGACTGGAGGCTAAAACATGAAGAATGGTTACAGGAACTGGGCTAGTCTAGCAGTGTTCCAATATTTGAAGGGTTGTCACAGAGAGGAGGGGGTCAAGCCAGTGGTGAAATCTAAAATTTGTTACTACCAGTTCTGTGGGCGTGGCTTGGTGGGGGGGGTAATGTGATGGTGGGCGTAGCCAATTTTTTTTTTTTTTTTTACTTTTAAAACCATTTTTTCTACAACTTCTTTGGCGAAGAGGTTGTAAAAAAATGCTTTCAAAAGGCTCTGACGATCCCAGCTGAGTTGCCTGATCGGCAGAGGCTTTTTTTTCTTTTAAAAGCCTTTGCCGATCCCATCTGAGCCACACGATCATCAGAGGCTTTTTTTTTTTCTTTTAAAAGCATTTTTTCGGCCGAAGAGGTTGTAGAAAAAATGCTTTTAAAAGTAAAAAAAAAGCCTCTGATGATTGTGCGGCTCAGCTGAGCATGGGGGGGGGGCAGGGATTTTTGCTACTGGTTCTCCGAACCACCCACCTCCGGTTCAGGCGATCCGGTCTAAACCGGGAGCATTTCACCCCTGGATCAAGCTATTTTCCAAAGCACCTGAGGGCCAGATAAGGAATAATGGATGTAAACTGATTAAGGAGAGATTCAACCTAGAAAGGAGAAATTTTCTGACAGTGAGAACAATCAACTAATGGAACAGCTTGCCTTCAGAAGTTGTGGGAGCTATACCACTGGAAGCTTTCAAGAAGTGAATGGACTGCCATCTGTCAGAAATGTTGTAGAGCAGTGGTTCCCAACCTTTTTTGGCTATGCCCCACCTAAGCATCTCTAAAATCCTGATGCCCCCCCCCCGGTGACATATAGAACATATAGAATAACAGAGTTGGAAGGGACCTTGGAGGTCCTCTAGTCCAACCCCCTGCCCAGGCAGGAAACCCTACACCACTTCTACACATATAATTCACCATTTATAAACATATAATTATTACTATTGAAAAAATGACTCCTACTCACATGGAGGAAGCATAAAAGGCCATTAACTTGCTTTAAACAAGGTTCCAATTGTCTCCATTAAAAATCAAATTGCCCCCCTGTGGGGCATGGGTCCCACATTGGGAACCACTGGTGTAGAGTCTCCTGCTTGGGCAGGGGATTGGACTAGATCACCTACAAAGTTTCTTGGCAACTCTGTTATTCTGTTAAAAGAGAAACACTATGCAAACAAGGTGCAGTAAAAACAGTTATTAGAAAGATTTGTACAAGGCCACAAGCAAGTATCAATCAAAAGGCTGCCCACTTGTCCTTTATTTGTTATGGGATAGTTCAGTTTCCCAGATGCCTTTAAGTCAGCAGCTCTGTGACTTTCTTACCAGTAAGTCCAAAGGCAGGGCAGGAAAAGATAAAACAGAATTACTGCGTTCAGTTGGTCTGCTGGACCTATGACTGAATTTAGATTAAGCCACATATAGGTGTACTGCCTTTCTGCCAGTGCACTCAAGATGATTTACCTCCTAAAGGGTAAGAAAAAATAATAAAACAGAAAGATGAAAAAAAAAAACCAAAGAACAAAGCAGGTTCAATGTAGAAGTGTTTTGTAGTGTTATATGGCAATGTTATATGCAGTTGTTAAAAATATATTTAAATAAGGCATGAGAGGATTGTACTGTATTGTTTGTCCTGCTTCAACATGCTCCAACCATTCCCCCCACATTAAACCCCCATTCCCCTCACACTCATGAGAAAAAGAGCCTGACATGCATAAAAATATGCCTCAATAGAATTCCTCCAGTATGAAAACCTGAACTATCCAGAATCACAACTCACAAGGAGACCTTCTGCATGTCTATATATGGCCAGAGCAACCTCATTTGGCCATTAAATCTGGATCCTGCTAGGGAGAAACTACATAGACAAGCTCTACACAAGATGGAATGGGCTTCATTTAATTGGAGAATGTGGACCTCAAGGGGAAGCGCCAAGGAACAATGGGTCTCAGTCTAGCCAATGAAAAAAAAAGCCTAGGCAGGTTCCTGCCTATGAAAAAGATCCACCCACTTCTTAAACTTGTCCCACCCAGCAACATTTAAAATATCAAAAATAGGGTGCGGTTTTTTGAACTGTGTTATAAAAAAGAATCCTATAGAGAAGATGTCTCCTACAAAGCCCTGCACCTCATGATCATTAATCTGGCCCCAGATGGAGGTTGAGCATTGCATACATATTTGACTGGAACACACAATGTTCTCAGCTGCTGCAAAGGAAAATTATAGAGTCAACTTACTTTTAAAGCATAGCCCAGTATAACTTTTCTTCAAGGACATATTTCATACCCCCCTGAGAGAGTAGAGGGTTAGAATTATGGATATTGAAATCCAACACATCTAGAAAGCACACAGATTGCTGTGTGTTATAGCTGGGACAGAACCTAAACAGAAAGATTTTTTTCTATGGTAGAAAAGATGTTCCAGTTTATTGTATCCTAACTAAACTTTAACTTTATAAAACCATGCAAACAGTTGATAAAGGCAACTAGGTTGCTGTTCAGAAAATGCAGTCTAAAGATTGTACAGTACACAAAAATTTCTTTTTTGCTTGAACTGTCCCAGTTTTTATGTCTTTGTGTCTGAAAAGCAGCATTTACCCAGTGATGCTTTGAGACCAACAGTATAAAGCTGTGTATGTTCAAGTGCATACAGATAGTCTTTGACTTACAACTGGACCTTTAAAAACTATTCGAAGTTATGATTGCATGAAAGGATGCTTTACTTCCTATTCTAACACATCATCCATTTGCTTTTAACTGGTTGCCTAATGCCCCACAATCATGCAATTGCAATTTGCTATTTTCTCTGCCAGCTTTCCCAGAAGCCGGCAAGGAAGATTGCAAGCTGCTGTGGCCAGCTAAAGAATTTCCCCTGTCTGTATCAGGGTGGTGGTGGTGAGTGGTCCTTTATCAGGCTGCAGAAATGAAGCTCAAATCCCAAAAGTCATTCCTGCACTCCACTGTGTGAGTTCCCTTTGCAGGTAATTCTTTAGCTTCGCCTATTTAACTTGCATAGTTGCTTAATGATTATAACTGGGAGAGCCGAATTGCGGTTGTTGAGCAAAGCAGTCATATGGGCATCTCACTTAACAACTGCTTTGCTCAATAAACTAAGATTCTGGTTCCAGTTATAGTTGTAAGTCAAGAATTACCTGTAGGTATAAAATTCTAAGCTTCATCATTGTCTAACAAAGCAAATTAACTTACATGGCTATCAGTCTCTTTACCCTCCAGTAACAAGATTTCAGTTAGCTGAGCAGAATCTCTGCAATCAATAAAGGGGATCTTCAAATCACTTAGCAAAGTAGGCCAGTTGTCAACCATTATGTTCCAGTGATTTTTCTAATGACTAAAGAAGAGATTTGCCTAAACCAGGTTAGAATTTAGCCCGGTGTCCCTCAAGGGTTTTGTCTTTGCTGATCAGATGAGAAGAATTAGCTGTTTTTCCTGGCACGTACAAATTGGAGGGGACAGGAGACTCATTCTTGTCTATTTTTAGTGAGTGCTGTTATTCCTGGCTGAGGGTTCAAAGTAGATGCATTGTGGGTCCCAGTGATTCAACTCATAGCCCTGAAAATCAGTCTGGGAGAAGATACGTTTAGCTCATTTTCTCCACTACGTTTTTGTTTTAAAGCCCTTCTTTTCCTACCCTCTCAAGTTCTTTTGAAAAGATGCAAGCAGCATGTAGTCAGATGAGACAGAAATGAGGTGAGGGAAAACAATCTCCTAGTACAGTAGCCTTCCCAGCTGATTCCCTTGGTCATTGTAGCCCAACATTAGAGGGCATCATAGTAGGAGTTTGATCTTGAAAAAGGGAAGCAGAATTGGAGAGATTAATATTTGCATAGGAAAACATCTGTGCAAATATTACCTATGAGGGCTAAAAGTACAAAATGCGACAAGAAGACAATACCAAATGACTTCACTAGGCATCAATCTTGACTCCAGGAAGTTTCACTCTTTTGTAAATCTAGAGGACACTACATTGGGAAGAAAAAGGGGGAAGAGATGTGCTGGAAGGAGAAATAAGAGTCAGAAATAGAGATAAAGTGGGCTCCACGTGCTTTTGGTTTGTGTTATGCCCCTCACTTGTTTTTGTCCAACCTATCCTTGGCATGAAATGTAGCTCCTGCTGTTTCTTTGGAAGTATGTAGCTTCACCAGAAGGAAGTTTGCTCATTTCTGAATTGAACAAAGGGGAGGGGGTGAAGTCTTTGCAGTGATTGACAACTCCCCAGAGTTATCTTTGGAGGCACTTGCTGAAGTGGTTCCAAGCCAGCCCAATATGGCCAGAGAATGGTCATGTCAAGTAGTTGTGTGGAATCAGCCAGCATAATCCCCCAGACAGCTGCTGTGCTGTGATCATAGAGGAGCTGTAAAGTTAATAGTACAATTAAGTTCAGTAACCCTGAAAGAAGCTCTTGTATTTTAAATTGAAGAGGGTTGGAGCCTCTTGGTTCTCTTCTATGGCAAGATTATCTGATTCCAAACAGGCCAGCCATGCAGATGGAAATCTGCATTAATTCCTGGCTAGCCACCAGCTTCACTTGTCAAGAAGAGGGTTGATTTTCTGCATCAAACGGACCAAGTTCTGGCCAAGTGCATGACAGGCAAGATGCTGCAAAGCAGGTATAGATAACAGAGTTTGTCCAATGCAAAATATTTGTCTTCAGTCTGTTTTCTCCCTCCTCTCTTCACCCCCAGGCTTATCCAGAACCAGATTACAGTTCGAGGAGCCACAAGCTTAGCTGATGCTCTCCAGGACAACACAGCTCTCAAAGAAATCTGGTAAGATCATCCATAGGGAATAACACCCACCAGTGAGCTCCATGCCCTTTGTGGAAACTTCACTAAATTGAATAGGAGGAAAGCAAGAGTGGGATGCCTTTGCCCTCTTGATGGAGCAAACTATAACTCCCAGAAACCTTAATTACTGACCCAATTGCTTAAACCTGTCAGGAGTTACCATTCAGCAATACAGGTAATCCTTGACTTACAACAGTTTGTTTAGTGACCATTCAAAGTTACAATAGTATTGAAAAAAGTGGCTCATGGTCAGTTTTCACACATACGACTATTGCATCATCTCCATGTTCACATGATCAAAATTCAGATATTGGCAACAGACTCACATTTATGACAGTTGCAGTGTCCTGGGGTCATGTGATCACTTTTAGCAATTTTATGACAAACAAAGCCAATGGGAAGCCAGATTCACTTTATAGCCATGTTACTAACTTAATAACTGCAGTCATTCACTTAACAACTGTGACAAGAAAGGTTGTAAATGGGGCAAAACTCATTTAACAACCATCTTTCAGCAACAAAAATTTTGGGCTCAGTTGTGGTCGTAAATCAAGGATTATTTTATTTGGATGATCACAGGTATAAACTAAAACATGCCTTTGGGTGTTTTCTGTAGACTGTTGCATAAACATCTCTTTGACTCAGTGCTTTAGCTAAAGTAAATATACCTATGTAATGCCTATAGTTATATTTCCTTATCGTTTTTATGCTTTATGCAAAGATGGGCAATTGATGATCCTTCAGATATTTAGCCAATAATGAAGGACAGCTGACAGCTGTAATCTATCTGTATCTGGAAGATTACAAATTTGCTGTCCCTGTTAACAAGGTCAGAGAGAGAGAGAGAGAGAGAAGTTCCCTAGGTGGTGACTTACAGCCTCATCCTTCGGTAATGTTTCTTAATTAATTCTACCCCAATTAGCTGCATAAAAATCTGAAGGAAACAGAAGAGATCCAATTTCATTTCTATTAAATTGGGCTCACATCACAATAATTAAAACGGAAGAGGAAGCCTAATATTTTTCTCAAAACAGAAAAATTTATCAAGCATCATTAGTTTCAGTGTCCCCCTGGCATTGGTTAAACATGGGGAATGTAAGAAAGGTTCTGTTAGTGCTCTGAAGTTTTTCCACATCCTACAATCAGAACAGCCATATCCTGGAAGAATCAGGCAATAGAAAGAGCTATAAAATCAGCTAAGGAAAGAAAAGGAAACATACTTATTGATACACCTGTAGAAACAGCTGCTTTTAAAAACCATTTTTTTCTCTTTTCCCATTTTCAACAGCTTAAACGGAAACCCAATAAGTCAAGAGGAGGCCCAAGTCTTTGAAAATGAAAAGAGACTCATTTGCTTCTGAGAAACTTTTTCCCGGTTGGATGATAATTGTCATACCAGGATGATTATACTAGTGCTCAGAGCAATGCCAGAAGCCTGGGCAAAATGAACCCAAAACTTGAATAAAACGATCACCTCCTGTGTGCTTATCTTGACCCTGATGCTTGAAAGGAGGATTTAGCCTTAGTAATTAACCAGTTCTACCCTAACAACATTTGTGTTAGGTTTCTGGGATGACTTTGATTTTATGCCAGGCCCTGAAATATATCAGCAGGAACCTGGTTCAGAAGACAACCCTTAAAAGACACTGAAACTGGAGGATCAGAACTGGGGGAACTAGCAGCTCATCTGAAAAAAATCTACTGTCTCCCTTCTCCCTTACTCCACCCTTCCTCAAATGTTTGCCCCACTTTTTTTTTTTGGCCGGGAAAAAGATATTTGGATGCTGCTGTTGCTACAGAATTAGATCCACCAGTGAATCCCTTTCTCTCAGTGAGGCATAGCAAATTGCCTTCAGTCAGTTTTGCCTTTGATACCAACCATAATTCAAAGGAAAGGAATCATGGTGCAAAAGAAAATGGCAGGATGGATTTCTCACAACCTATTGCAGGTATTAATACTTAAGGTTTAGACCTGATTTTGCACTACACCCTTTTAAGGGTATGAGGAGTTTTGAGAAGATTTGCATTTTTCACAAAGGTTGTAAAGAGCAAATTTGTACACGGGTGACCAGAGTCGCCCAAAGTCACTAGCTTTTTTATGTGACCTAAGTGAGACAGGCGATGTAGAAATGTGTTAAGTAATGTGTTATCACACACCTAAAAAGAACAGAGTTAAGGTTAGAGTTTGATCATGTTAACTTGCCATTTTGAAGCCAGTGACTATCACCTGTTTTGCTACTGGCTCACTTGGAAGTTGTGCTAATTTATTCCTAGATATTAGAGAGAAGAGACGAAATGCATTCAACATGCTCACATAAATTGTCCTTAATTGTGGTTTAGTGGTTTAGTCAAATGATTGGGTTAATGTTAAATATCATTTGTTTCTAGTGTTTTGGTTATCTGAGGATATTTGATAAGGGCTGGATCTCAGCCTCAATATGTTGGAAGAGAAGTATGGTATAAATGACATATTTGGGGGATGCTCCATTGTGGTATCTCTTTGTTCCAGTATTAATAAATTAATTATTAGGGGGTTGGAAATAGAAATAAAAGATGAAAGTTTGTACAATATAATGGTAATTTGGAATTTAATTTGGTATATGAAGAACTCTGCTTTTATTGGACATGGACTATAGCTACAATGTTTTACTTTGATGGAAATATACTTTATGTTACAGTTTGGTATGATGAAATGTATTCCCTTTTGCGTATTAATTTGTTTCTCATTATGTGGCGGAAATCCACCAATATGTAATCAAGGTTCAATTTATTGAATGAGTTATTTTCTTATTAAAGTATTTTCATTTTCTGTTTCTCTTTATTTGTATTTGTCCTGGTTACATTGTAGGTTATCTTTTCTTTCATATATGCAATACTTTTAAAAAAGACATGTAGAAATGATTTAATTAGCACCACTGTTTACAAGCCAAAGCAAATGGACTTAGCATACCACATGCTTTTATTGTACCCATTACCATTGTTACCAAGAGGAAATAGGCATCCTCTTGCAATCTTAAGATAACAGACACATTGAATTGTTTTTTTGTAAATGACCAATTGGTAATTTGTTATGTCACTTTTAAAATGTGATTCCTCCCCCTCCATGGCACCATATATTTGAAATAAATTCAAAGCTTTCATGTGGGGAAATATAGAAGTTGTGATTTATCATATATAGTATACCACAGAAGTGAGTACACCCCCTCACATTTTGTAAATATTTAAGTATATCTTTTCAGGTGACAACACTGAAGAAATAACACTTGGCTAGTAAGTAATGTAATGTAAAGTAGTGAGTATTCAGCTTGTATAACAGTGTAAATGTACTGTCCCCTCAAAATAACGCAACACATAGCCATTAATGTCTAAACTTCTGACAACAAAAGTGAGTACACCCCTAAGTGATAATGTCCAAATGGGGCCCAATTAGCCGTTTTCCCTCCCTGGTGTCATGTGGTGTCATGTGACGTGTTAGTGTTACAAGGTCTCAGGTGAGAAGGGAGAGCAGGTGTGTTAATTTGGTGTTATCTCTCTCACTCTCTCATACTGATCACTGGAAGTTCAGCATGGGACCTCATACCAATGAACTCTCTGAGGAACTGAAAAAATGAATTGTTGCTCTACATAAAGATGGCCTAGGCTATAAGAAGATTGCCAAGCCCCTGAAACTGAGCTGCAGCACGGTGGCCAAGACCATACAGCAGTTTAACAGGACAGGTTCCATTCAGAAGAGGCCTCGCCATGGTTGACCAAAAAAGTTGAGTGCCCGTGCTCAGCGTCATATCCAGAGGTTGGCTTTGGGAAATAGACGTATGAGTGCTGCCAGCATTGCTGCAGAGGTTGAAGGGGTGGAGGCTCAGCCTGTCAGTGCTTGGACCATACGCCGCACGCTGCAACAAATTGGTCTGCAGAGCTGTCGTCCCAGAAGGAAGCCTAAAGATGATGCATAAGAAAGCCCACAAATGGTTTGCTGCAGACAAGCAGGACATGGATTCCTGGAACCATGTCCTGTGGTCCAATAAGACCAAGGTAAGCTTATTTGATTCAGATGGTGTCAAGCGTGTGTGGCAGCAACCAGATGAGTACAAAGACAAGTGTATCTTGCCTACAGTCAAGCATGGTGGTGGGAATGTCATGGTCTGGGGCTGCATGAGTGCTGCCTGCACTGGGCTACAGTTCATTGAGGGAACCATGAATACCAACATGTACTGTGACATACTGAAGCAGAGCATGATCCCCCTCCTTTCAGAGACTGGGCCACAGGGCAGTATTCCAACATGATAACGACCCCAAACACACCTCCAAAATGACCACTGCCTTGCTAAAGAAGCTGAGGGTAAAGGTGATGGACTGGCCAAGCGTGTCTCCAGACCTAAACCCTATTGAGAATCTGTGGGGCATCCTGAAAAGGAAGGTGCAGGTGTGCAAGGTCTCTAATATCCTCCAGCTCCATGACGTCAAGGAGGACTGGAAGAGGACTCCAGTGGCAACCTGTGAAGCTCTGGTGAACTCTATGCCCAAGAGGATTAAGGCAGTGCTGGAAAATAATGGTGGCCACACAAAATATTGACACTTTGGGCTCCATTTGGACATTATCACTTAGGGGTGTACTCACTTTTGCTGCCAGCAGTTTAGACATTAATGGTTGTGTGTTGTGTTATTTTAAGGGGACAGGTTGCTAGGATGAGGAAAAAAGGTTTAAAATAGTATTAAAATAATGTGAATGATGATCAGAAAGACAACATAATTAGAATATTCAATTCCATTTTTCAGCCTGAGCTAAAACCAGCCACTGATACTCATACCAGTGTAATGTATTCTAAAAAAAATTGAGAAATACTGTTAGGTGTTTTGTGCCAGCCATGGCAGTTTCTTAAAAGGTCACCAGATGGGAGCAAAGTGGCACCTTTGATCCCATTGGTGGGTCAAGGGGCTCCGGCCCCTGCAGCCCCATTTGGGGAGAGTTAATGGCCGTCCGGCCCCCTCACACACCCTGGTAAGGGAGGGGCCAAGGGCCCCTATAAGAACCCCTGCACAGGGGCTGCTCTTTGGCTCTTGTTCTAGCTTCCTACGGGACTGATCCATGGGCTCATTCCAGACATAGATGCCTCCATGCCAGGGAATTCATTTTACCTACTTTATTCCTAAATAAGGATTTAATTTGATTGCATCCTTGCATGCTGCCTTTTCTTGGAAGCGCCCTCAACGAACCATCGATCTTCGTGAGATCCCTCACAAAGTGGTAGCAGAGGATGGTTCAAGGCAACGCTTCCAAGCCAGCAGAAGCAAGATGCCTGGAGGTTCCAGCAAGAACCCCCAAGAGATGGATGGCGGGAGATCCCCGATTGTGACCAGAAGTCTTTAATCAAGGATGGCAGCCCTGCATCCAGTCCCTGATGCAAGCTTTGATCCAGAGGGGGGCTCAGATGATTTCTATGCCCCCAAAGGACCCAGCGGAACGCCAGGGACCCCTTCGCACGCTTCCCTGCAACTGCAAGCCACAGAGGGAAGCATGGAAGGCCAGCAGTCCACCCAGGACTGCCAGGACACTGGGGAGACGGTCAGGGACCAGGCCAACCCCAGCATAGACCAGCTCACTGGCAAGGAATGCAGAGAACTGCTCCAAACGCTCCTAGCCGCCCGAGGGACGCCAGGAACCAAGCCGCATGGGACACCAGGTAAGTCCTTCCCCAGCACCCAGGAGGACCCCTAACATGGCGCCGGCCACCCTGGGGGATCCCGGGGCCCCGGAGCATTTGGCAGGACGATTCCCGCCAAATCGCGACCTGCAGCTTCTGGGGCCAATCGGAAGCAACATGGAAGCCCCCAGGCTACCTACTCCAGCGAGGCTTGGTAGGCCTCAGCTAGGCCACGAGCCCCAGCAACCAATGGTGGCCAGCCAAAGCAGCATACAAACTGCTCGCCCCCCCCCCCCACTGGCAAGCCTTGAAGTCTGCAGCGGGCATCAGAGCTGCGATCCAAGTCCTGGAGGCCACGACGAACATGACCTTGATGTCGGGCGTAGCCAGCCTCCCTCGCTACCCCCAGGAGACCAACGAAGGGGAGCCCCCCAGCCAGGACCCATGCCTCCAGAGAGTCTCGGAAGAACCCCTGGGGGCTCCAGCCTTCCCAACACCCCCACCGAGGCAATGGAGGACTCACCTCGATGTCTTCAGGGGGCCTATGGCCGAGCCCCCCCATCTCCGACGATGGCTGCCTCCTCCGGAATCTTCAGGAGTAGCGGTAGGCCCCTCCAGGCGATCCTTGGCATCTTCGGGCCTTTCTGGCCGCATCCTGCAGTCTTCGCCTCCTGGTAAGTGTTCCAATACCGGGGAGGCTTCCAGAGGAATCTTCAGGGCTTCACAGGCCTGGTGTCAGCCTCCGCCTTTTCTGCTTTGGCTGCCATAGTAACAGGAGTGGGGAGAGCAGGTAGCATGGGGGGGGAAGCGTGCTGGAGGAAAACGAAATCGATAGTTAAGCCACCGGACTGTATCTTTGAAGCTGCCATCGGGCCAACGGTCATGGCATTCCTGATTGATAATTCTGCCAGACGTGTGTTTCCACCTGACCCCTGGGAGACCTTTGGATTGGATGATTTACGGTGGACAGTGGGAGGGGATGCTTTCTATATTTCCTAGCATGGAACGACCCCTCATACTTGGACTGCCCTGGCTCCATAGATGGAACCCACGGGTTAACTGGAAAACGGGGGTTTTGCGCATTTGCACTGGAAAACCGAGACTAGAGAGGGAAGAAAACCCCCTGGAGGACGGAGTAGAACACGAAAGGGCGGAAGTGGCAATAGGCCACATCGAAGGGGAGGAAAAGATTCCAAAGGAGTATTGGGATCTCCGAGAAGTTTTTAGTGAAAAGGCCTCGGATGTGCTGCCCCCCCCCCCAAATACACACACACACAGAGCTACGGACTGTACCATTGAAATACTCCCCGGGGTGAAGCTCTCTAAGCCAAAGATCTACCCCATGACCCCTCGAGAACTAGGGGAATTGCGAAACTTCATTGATAAAAACCTAGAACGGGGTTTTATCCAACCAGCCAGACCAAGGGTGGTGGCGCCTGTAATGTTCTGAGAAAAGAAAGATGGCTCCTTTCGTTTGGTAGTTGATTATAGAAATATCAACCTATTTGCATGGAAAACGTTTACCCCCCGCCGCTCATGAAGGACATGCTAGCACATTTAGGAAAGGGGAAAATTTTCACCAAACTGGACTTACGAGAGGCATACTACAAAGTGAGAATTAAGGAGGGGGATGAATGGAAAACCGCGATTAACTGCCCACTGGGATGTTTCCAGTTTCGACTACTCCCTTTTGGACTACAAGGAGCCCCTGCTGTGTTCATGCAATTGATTAACGAAGTACTGCATGAGCACCTGTATAAGGGGGTGCTGGTTTACTTGGATGACAATCTTATCTACTCTGAGAGCATGGACAACCATGTGAAATTGGTGCGAACTGTCCTGAAAAAAACCCAGGGCTGCTGAACTATATGCCAAGCTCTCTAAATGCGAGTTCCACCAAAGCAAAATTGACTATCTTGGATATCGCATATCGCATGAGGGAATAGAGATGGACCCTGGAAAAGTTCGGGCAGTATTGGAATGGGCCGTACCACGCACCCGCAAACAACTACAAAGTTTCCTCGGATTTGCTAACTTCTATAGACAGTTTATCCCCTCGTTTGCCAAAATCATGCTGCCAATAACAAATCTTCTGAAAACAAAAGGTGAAGTAAGACCAAAGCCCTCACGAGCCCTTGAACGGACTATGGACTGTCAGGCGGCATTCGAAAAGT